AAAAAAAAAAAAAAAAAAAAAAAAAAAAAAAAAAAAAAAAAAAGCCGCGCCCGCACACCCCGCAACCAAAAACGCACACAAACCACCTGGCTGGCGCTACCCTCGCCGCCCAGGTTCCGTTGCTGTCCCTCTGCCAAGGGTGCCAAGCCCTGGAGCTCTCCTCGCACCTCCCGCCTGAGACCAAGCGCCAGGTGCCGCCTGAAGCCACACTGCCCCTTTGGGAGCGAGCCTGAGGTAGCCACCCGGGAGGGGGAGTGGAAGGAAGGGAGCGCCCTGGGGGATGCGCACTGCCCGGCGGACCCACCCGAATTCTGAATCCTTCTTTGCTCACACAGCAAGGGGTGGGCATGAAAAAGTGACCGTGGGAGAGTATTGCCTTCTGGCCAAAATGTATTTTATGATGTTTTACACCCAGGACAGTGATTTGGAAACACAACAGAATCTGGACTCAGAGCCCCCAGTGAGGAACCAAACCTCTGCTTTTTCATCTGTATCATGGATGTAAGAATACCTTCGGAGGGATTGATGGGAGGACCCTGGGCATATGACTAACACATTATAAACTGATACCATTCATTGATTTTTACTGTTATCTTGAATCCTAAGTTCCAGCCACTGACTGGGGTAGGCGTTGGAATTCTATAGTAAGCAGAAACTGACCATTTCTGCTCTGGAGTTTTCAATCTATCACTGGAAGACACGTGGTAATCAAAAAGTCATACAAATTAAGTTATTTAAGTCTCCCCAAGGAGAGGTAGGTAAGTGATGTGGACCAGCGGGAAGGTCAGAGAAGGATGAGCTGAGCTCTGAGGAAAGGATTACCTGTGAAAGGTAGGGAATGTATGCCAAGCAAAAGTTCAAAACCAACCACCTCATATTCCAAACCCAAACAAAAACTGCTGCCTGGTTCTTGGTTCCAAGAGCTGTTTGTAGAAACTGTCTCTGAGATTCTGGTCTCTAGAGCCTTTCATTCATGTAGCTGGAGACTCTCATTTCTACAGCTGAAATCCTGGTTAGCCCACAATAAAACCAAATGAGAAATTCCAGAAACAAGCCTATACTTGATATTTGATAAGACCCATATTCTTCAGCACTTAGCAAGTATGTGTTGGCCTGCAGTTCCCTATTGGGAGGCACGAGGTTTCACCTCATAGGAAACTTACTGTATTATTATTATAAGCATTGGAGGTGAGCCCTGGAATGTAAAATTAAGAAGACCTACAAGACCAAGAGCTTTAAGAATGAAAAAGAACTTTACAAAATAATGGAATAGTGTAATGTTAAGATAAAATGGACCTTTCTCCCATTTTAAAAAATCTGATGTGAACAAATGGCCCATAATATCTAAAGACCAAAAAAAAAAAAAAAAAAAAAAAAAGTTGGGTGGGTTTGGGCTCTTCTCCAACCCAAAGAGTATATGATTCCATGTCTTTGTGACTCAAGAATGCATGGAATTCCTGAGGATAAGTGGGCAGGCACATAAGGAGGAGAATTTGACCTGACTCTCCTTTAGTGTTTTACATTTCTACAGTAGTACCACCACCATGCATCCATCACCCAGGCTTGAAAAATAGGAGTCACTCTAGATCTTGTCCCTAACCTTCCTCCCAGTGATTATCCCTACTCCTGTAGATTCTATTTCCTAAATACCTCCAATTGCAATTACCTTCCAAAGCAATGAAGCTGTTTGAGAGTTCTTGCCCAAAGTGCTTCCAGTTCTCCTAACCAGGCCTCATCCTCTCAGCCCACTTGTTGGTCAATTTGTGTTTCAGAGTCCAAAACAGAGAATGAAGTCATCTTGTAATTTTAACAAGGAAGGTTCAATCTAAAGAATTTTTTGACACTAATGAGATTGGAGTAACAGAGAATTGGCTAAGTAAGATGTAAGGTAAGACCTAAAGTATATAGGAATCACAGACATGAGGAGCAACCACTACTCTTGAAACTGATTATCCCAGAAAGGGGTCTCTCCCAGAGCTTGTTGCAGAGGGTGTGGCCAGGACTTACTAGAAGGCAGTGAAATTACTGAGATGCAGGGCAGGCAGAATCTACTCTCTGGGATGCCAGAGAAGCTATTTCTGACACCCACTGGTAACACTCTGCTACAATGCTTCCCAAGAGAGGAACCAGGGTGTGTCAGTTAGCTTTCCAGTACTATAATGAAATACCTGAAACAACCAACTTAGAAAGAGAAAAGTTTTATTTTGGTTCATCATTCTAGAGGTTTTAGTCTAAGATAAAGTGACTTTATTGCTTTAGGCCTCTAATGACAGCTACACATCATGGCAGGAATGTGTAGCAGACCATACTGTTCACTTCATGAGCCATGAAGCAAAGAGAAAAGAGGAAGATACTGAAGTCCTACAATCCCCCTTAGAGGCATATTCTCAGTAATCTAAGGACCTTTTATTAGGCCCCATCTCTCATAGGTTCCATCTTCTACCAGTAGTGTACCACCCTAGTGACCATGATTTAACACATGGGCTTTGGAGGACACTCACTCAAGTCATATCACAGGGGAAGCTGCTGGCCTTTGGGCACTGTGAGCCTGTAGTCTAGCAGTTAGGCACTCAAGAGATTCCCGTACTGCATGAACCAGATGCTGGAGAAGCCATGCCCTGCAGGATCCCAGCACTGGAGAAATTGCAGGTTCCTGGAGCCTAGCAAGAGCAGCACACCTGAACCTGCAAAAGAATCCGCTTCTCCTTCCCGTGTCTCTCCAGTACCCAGTAATGACAAAGCTCAACATCGTGACAGCTGGCAAGGGAAAAATATTTAAAGAATCTAGTTCCAGTTTTGCTGAAGCAATGAAGGATAAATTTGGAGCTAAGAGGCAATAAACTGATAACTGACACATCAGGCTAATGTTGAAATCTAACGGTGTGACTCTAGTGCTTAAACTTCTCTGATGGCTTCAACATAAATTCAAAAGCCTTACCAGGCATAGCAGGCCTTATACATTTTGGTCTTTGGGCTGTATTTCCAGCCATAGATCCAAATACAGTTCCTTCATTAATCTAGCAGTCTAAAATTCCAGTTCTCTGAACACAGTGTTTTTGTCAACGGGACACTTTTGCATAAGTCGTCCTCCTGGACACGTGGAATTCCCTCCTTACTCTCATAATAAATAGATGCTTAAGGAATTCTGACCCTATTTTTGGCACTGTTCTGGAGGCTGGGGACATAGCAATGAACAAACCAGGCTTCCCTAAGTCTCAGTTCCAATGTCATCACTTTTTGAAAAGTATTTTCTGATCTCCTCCTACTTCTAGACAAGTTAGATCTCTCATCTTGGAGTTTCTTTTTAGTTCTCCTATATTTAGTGAAGAGTTCGTGACATGTATCTCACCTCATTTTGATTTAGCTTTTAATACCTTCAGCTACCCTGTAAGCGCCATGAATTCAGGGTATGTGACTTATTTCTGTATCCCAGTATTCAGCACAATTCTAATAAAACATAAGGTTTTATCATATTGGTGATCTTCCCAGAATCACATATTTAGTCAAAGATAGGCCCAGAACCAGAATCCTGGTGATCTGCCCCATGACCAAGAGTGTTTCTTTACTAGAGCTTTTTTTGTCCTTTGGGTGTTCTGCTTCATCTAGCTATGAAGGACAGCAACCCTGTATTTTGTACTGGGAAAAAACAATGTAATGTTACAGAGTATCAGAACTGGCAATGGAAACAAGGGAGATACAGTCCTGATCTTATTTGGAAAGCAAGGGTACATTCAACTCTCAGGATCTTATATGTATCCTTTTGAGTTTCTGAGTCATGGGAATGTTACAATTAAGTGAGAAGTAGAAGGACAAGTAAAAGGATGAGAATGCTGTGGGGTATTCTGAACTTCATTCTTAAAGGATGAAGATTGCACACTTAAGAAGGACAAGGCTAAGGTGACACCAAATACATATGCCAGATCCCAAAATCAGGGGACCACGTTGCACAATTTCAGGGAGCACATGGCAGTCTGTAAGCAAGCCATGTTTCCCTGGGATTGAGGTTCATGATGTGAACATGGAGGAAATCTTTGAAATATAAGCATGCCTCAGTTAGGATAAATCAGAGAGGTGCCTGTTCTCTTGTTAAATAACCATGTAGAACTCATGGCTTCCAAGAGATGGTACTAGCCTGACATATAAGCGAGTATGGAAAATTTGCTAATAATAGGACCAAAAAAACTACTACTCAGAAAAAGCACAAGGTCAGGCAGGACTGCTCTTAGGAATATTGCTGTTGGCATCCAAATGCTGGGTTGGCTTGACCATGGATTTGGATGAGAAAGATCCAGGCTTCTGTGAATTAAATTTGGAAGAGCAAAGTTAACATGGATAAGGCAAATTGTGGAGATCTTGAAAGATGGACTGGACATAATTTCAACAAGAAATGAAGATCCACTAAAGGTTTTTGACAGTGATGTGGTAATAACATGAATCATTAACAAATATCTGACAAAGCTAAGCCTCAATTTCCTGGCATTGGAGAACTTTTGATATTAGAACCTACTACGTATAGATTGTTGTAAGGATTAAGTGAGATGTTGAATGTGCAGATTGCCTTTAGGCCTGTTTTATGCTGGGCATCCTTGCATTTATACCAATTGTATAGACTATGGTTAAAGAGACAGTGACCATATCTTCAGGACAAAAAAATTAAGACATACTCTGACATAATTTTTTTAAAAAACAAAATTAAGTGTAGACTTAATGAAGAATGCATGTTGTAATCTTGAAGGTACAAGATGGTAGATCGATAAAGGATAATAAAAAGAATGTATAGCTTTATAAAGAGGAAAAACAATTAACAATACTCAAAAATATTTTATTGCTTAGAAAAGACAAGGAAAAAGGAATAAAGAATCAGATGGCAAATAGAAAATAAAAAAACCCCAAAATGGTAAAAAATTACATCCAATAATTTTTTTTTTTTGATTTTTATTTTTTTTAGTACTGTGATTTTTTTTTATTGTTGGTTGTTCAAAACATTACATAGTTCTTGATATATCATCTTTCACACTTTGCTTCAAGTGGGTCCAATAATTATTTTAAGGATAAATAAACTAAATTATCCAATTGAAAATTTTTCAGTGTGTTTTTACACTTTGAATAACAATAAAGTTGAAAGGAAAAAGTTCAAAAAACAGTCCTTGCAAAAATTAGACAAAAGAAAGCTGGCAAACCAAATTGGCTTTAAGAAGTTCAGTTAGATGAAAGAGGGGCATTTCATAATTATA